AAAAAAATTTTATGAAGCTAAAACTGCAGTAGAATATTTTTAAAACGAATAAAAACGGTATGCTGGTATTACCGTGGTTGTGTACCTATTACCGTGTACGTATTACCGCGGATGTATAGGGTTATGTTTACGTACGCTCACCGCGGAAATACGTACACAATCAGTTAATGAGCGCGTTGTACCGAATACCGTGGAAAATAATTATTTACTCAAAATATACACAAATATTTCTGTTTGAATTGCATCTACATTAACGTCATTTTAGATTATTAAAATTGAAAAATTATTTTATATGAAACATTTCTTATTTTGAGCAAGTAATCATCAGTTTTTCAAAATCCACGGTAATAGGGCAGAGCACGGAGATAGGTACACTTACCCCTATCATATCATTTCTATTAGTATTACCAAAACCAAACCATATACAATTTTTGTAAAAGAACCAAAGGTGAATTCATAGCAAGATATATGTTGTATGCTTATGCCTTGTGTAGTTTTTCTGTTCTCGTCTTACTCACAATCCTTGCATCTAAAATTAGCTCTTATGTAATATTGAAACACATACTTGTAAACGCATCAATTATGGGCTTAAAGTTATGAGGATGAATATTTATGATTTTTTATATTTACATTTAACTTTTGTCTTGAAATCATTGTAGGGCGTTTTTTAAGTCGAAATAACTTGGGACCAACCCATACTGGAGTGGTACCAAAACGCTTTAATTTCATACATTCGTATTTGAAATACAATATTTAAATACAGTTTGAAATAGAATTGTGTTTTATCAAGGTATTTAAAATAATTAAGTAAATTACAAATGTATTTAAGCAAATTATTTTAAATACTTCCTCAAATACAATTGTATCTGAAACAAAGTATTTAAAATAAAAATGTATTTCGTGCAATTCATTTAAAATAAAGTATTTAAACTATTTTTTATTGAAATAGTGTGTTTAATACTCATCGTATTTACGTAAAAATTTATTTAAAATACCAACGTATTTGATGTTTTTATTTAAAATAAAATAGTTTCAACACTGTGTTTTGAATAAAAATAATATATATTCTTTTAAACAATTTTTAATCATTAAAATGTTTTATTTGAAGTAAAATGTTTCTTTTAGTATTTTGTTTGAACTACTTTTTTAAATATCATGATAAGTACAGTATTCAGTTTAGATATTTAATATAAATAAAGTATTTGGGTAACTTGAATTAAAGCTGAAATAAAGTATTTTAGAGCATCTTAACTCTGTCAAATACTGTCTATCTCTGATCTCTTGCATACATTTATTTTGACCTATCTCAAAATCGTTATACGTAGTAATAAATGTCTTTTACTTAATGTAACTAGTACCTTATTATTGAAAATAATATGGTTTTTGTTACAGGGACCGAAATAATCTTTTCTTCTTTTTTAGATTTGAACTTATAAATATAGAGAGCATCATTTTTTATTTTCGGTGACAATGAATATGGCTCAACAGTTTTAAAATTATTTTAAACCAATGCAGTTGTAGATACGCTTTGCAGTTCACCTACTATCTCCTTACATCTCTCTTGCCTTATTTAAGGAGCCACACGGCGTCCCCAAAATTTATTAATCATTTTTATTATTAAATATATCTCTGTAGAACAAAAATTTCATTAGTTTCTATTTTTACCTTATTTTATTGGAAATCAAACCTGTTTGTACGAGGGAGCAGGGGGTGACGAGTGAGGCTATTACTTTCACCCTACATATAAATTTCCTATTTGACATAGGAAAATATATGTTATTAGTTTCCACGTGCAGCCATAATCTTCTATCAATATATTAATTTGAGGTTATCAGAAAGTTATGGGTCACTCACAATGGATAGAGCAACTATTGACTGTGATTAATTTAATTTTTTTGTTAATAATTTATGGTGGTTTCATTTGACCACATTAGAACATGAGCAATAAATAATAATTCTTATCTATACAATATACGTTGTACAAAGCTAACTAGAAAAAATTTGTAAGCAATAATGCTTCAACATTATAATACACATGTTCAACTTAAACCTTTTCGTGTATCTTGCAGCGTATTTAGCATCTCGACGTGGTTCACGAGATAGTCAGATCTCAAATGTATCAAATGTGAGTAATGAAGAGATTGGACCACTTAACTTCAGTTCACACCCACGAGGACGACAGCGGAGAACATCAAATTTTTTGGAGTTGCCAGGTATTTTTGAACATAATTTACATTTTCTGATTAAAACCTATACTTTCATGGTTTCTTTCTATTTTTAAAGTAATTTGCAGATGCTGAATTGTATAAAAAATAGTTACTAGATTGTCAGGATATTGTGTGGCCTTATGACCCAAAAAGAAAGTGATTGCCACTTCCATAGATGTTGTCTTTCCATTTTTACCATAAGAGGCAACAAAGAGAGGTAACAGTGTTCAGTAAGTGAATAAAAATTATTAACTTTAGAGCTGCATCAAGAACTCTGTTCTAACGAGGTTCCATATATTATTATCAGCGACTTCTCATTAAAAAGGAGTAGGTAATGAGCCATATATATTCTTGTGATTGCAGTGACTATAGATTAGTAAGATAGTCTTATGCAACGCGTAACTTTTAGATCCAAATTAGATATTTCAGCTTCTGCACATACATTCACTTTCTAATCTTTCTCGTACATATTTCTCGATGACGCTTCATACAAAAACAATAATAACATCAAACGACTGTATCTCAAAGACAAACCCTGTATATACACGTTGATCTTATGTTACCGGTCCTCATTCTCTTTCCATTCGTCTAGTTATGACTGCTCTTCTCGCGATCTCGATGGTGTGGACAGGATCTTCTGTCAGTCGGTCTGATGAAACAGGGTTGGCTAGCAGCTGATTTTCAGATAAAGACAAAGAGAACTAGATAAACTGGATTCTAGTAGATAAACTGCAAGTAGAAGAATACTGCTAAAGCGGAAAAAAAACTTACACATACTTTGATCTACTATCCTGCTCAAGAACTAGTTAAGAAGTGACGAGCACGCAAGGCCTGCTGGCTCACGATGGCTACTCCATCAGCTAGTGCTGAGTGTATCTCTGCTTTTGCCCATCTCTTTCTATCTCCCATTAGTTTGTACTGCATGACTCACGCTTAACTAAATTTCATTACGAGTTACTCTGCATATCTTATAAAATTAATTCTCGACGATGCTATTTTACAAATCTTTTTCACTCAACAAGTCAAATGATCTTTATTGTACGCTATCTAAGATAAGCTAGCCTAACAACGATTTCCATAAATTGAAAAATTATTTTATATGAAACATTTCTTATTTTGAGCAAGTAATCATCAGTTTTTCAAAATCCACGGTAATAGGGCAGAGCACGGAGATAGGTACACTTACCCCTATCNAATATAATAATAATAATAATAATATTATTATTAATAATAAAATAATTATAATAATAATAATAAGTTTAAAGTTAAACTCAGTACTACTAATTAGGATAATGGTTTCCACATACATAAATTAATGAGTGGGGCTTAGCCCCTTGGCACGTTTTTTATGCAGAAAATGATGTAAACGAATTTTATTCGTAACCTTGACTTGTTACCTATAGTGAGAAAAGTAAGGAATAATATTTCTATAATTTTCAAAAAACATAACCACAAATAAGCTAACTTTTATTACAATTCGATTACTTCGTACAAAGATAATGTTGATGTTGAGTGCTATTACTTACAAATATACTTTTAGTGAAATATAAGCTTAGGTTCAAATAATTAAGCCCAAAACAAAATTTTTTCGACTTTTATGATTTTAACACAAACTTTATTCAACGACTACTGTTAAGAAACGGTACTTTGCAATTAATATTTCAGAGCAGATGAAGGTAGTTTTATCTTCTTCTATACATTTTACAATGCTTCGGGTATTACTGCAGCCAACCCAGCAAAAAAAAAGATCGAACTAGAAAATTTTTTTTCACTTTTTCACTAGTTTTTCGACGATCAGCCCCACTGTGAGTTGATTTATGCTGACGGTTGTTCTTTCGTATTGCCGTTCGTTTATTTTTCATTAGACCTCACGCTTGTGTTTACCGTTTGTTTTGATGATTACAATCGGCGCCTGTCGGTGTCCGCTTTGCTGTGCGTCGTGTGCTACTTGTTATGATGCTTGCTTTATTGCGCTCGTACGTCTGCTTTTGTATTTTGACAACTGACTGGTAGTGCCGAAGTCTGTCTGATAACGAAGGTGATTTCGCAAAGCATCAGACCGTCCGTTCTACCCATACATCTCTTGAGTTTACGACTGAGGATGTATAGCAGGTTTAATAGGGTTGGTGATTATCACCGTGCCTTATCGCTGCCTTTCATAATGAGATTACCTACGTCTTGTAGGTCTACGTTCCACGAAACCTGTCACTCTGTGACCCTGGTAGGCTTGGTCGTAAAATTACAGTGAGATTCGAGTACAGATCGTCTGAACTGTTTTTGCTAATGTTGTTTCGTGTCAGGTTAGCCCTAGTGCTATGACACGCTTTCTTGCTGCGTCTTGGTCCTTTATGTCAATTTGATCAGGATGGTCCATAAGAAATGTGTTGTTGGCCTTATCGAGAAAACTAAAACCTTGTAAGTATAGGAATGCAAAGTGGGCAAGAGATGCTGTAATGTCGACTGTGGATCCTGTGACATTTGGCCCAATACGTGCGTTGTTTCCGGTCTACCCGGCAACTACGGTTCTAATTGAGTGTCCCAATAAGTTGAGAAGTGCCGGGTGCTTGGTGAGATTTAAATCGAAACCTGTCTTCCACTTGCACCGAGTATAATTATTCACGATATTCCTGTGAGTTTGGAAAAGTACAAGGTTACAAAAGTGTGCTTGAGCATTCTCTTCAGGTAATGCATGATACGACCGTTTAAGTAGTTTTTTTATTTAGAAAAGTAAATAGAAAAGCAAAGATGAATCAACATAATAGTGGAGACTTTAGTCAGGGTTATCAACACGTACATAAATATTAAGACGCAGAAATTCACATGTTAGAAGAGACGTACATACAAGGTTGGAAAAGCTTAAAAAGAGCAGTGTTCTTTATTAAATAACGTAATTGTACTTCTCGATACAAGAAGACTAACAAAAAAAAATCCCACATCATCTTAGAAACAAAGTAAAGCAAAAGCTAAAACAAACTATAATCTCTGACGTAAGAAAATAGCCGCAAGGCATCCGCTTCTTAATTTCTTCAAAAACTGACCACGAATAATTGTTAAGGATGCAGATGGATATTTGTATTTTACATAAAAATTTTAAGAAGCATTCCACTGGCAGTTAAAAAAAAGTGTTTATGCATGTAGTAATATTGTAGCCACATTAAAAATTCACTTGATATTTCAGTCTTGCTTATATAGATATTCAAATATTAAAGTATGCATATATTTGTATTGAACTTCATGGCACATGTAGTGGAGAGAGCCGACTCGGTAGATAATGCACTTTATGTCCAGTTTAAATTATGAATTTATTTTATGTTTTGTTGAAACAATATACGTAATTTTGTTAGAAATCCTACCATATGGTAGATTGCTCTATTATAGATACCATCCCTAAGAACATAGCTGTAAATACTTAAAAATGGATTATAAACCAATAGATACGTTTAGTTTTCGTATAATTTCTTGACAAATAGGGGTAAACCTACCCATTACCGTACAGTTTTGCACCGACTTTTTTTTGTATATTTTACTACATCATTGTGTACTGTCAAATATTGATTCACTAGCAGCCCCCCGTCTCGGCTTCGCCCGAGAATTACTAAATAAAACACCGCAGTGTGTTGACATGTAATGTGAAACATTTTCAGTTAGAAATTTTACACATATTCCTGATACATCTCAGAACAAAAATCTTCTTATTAAAAACATATTTTTTCGGAATCCATATAGTTTATTTGGTTAAATAATGAGGTGTAAAAATTCAAAAAAATTATTATGCTGAAAAGTACCGTGCGTTCTTTATGCCATAAAATAATCAGTGGCTATAAGAAGCCGTTGATTTACAGTTTCTCCCGTGTAATTCACGAAAAGGGCTATTTTGTAAAGCTGTTAAGATTTTAAACCCCCAAAAAATTTATATTAAAAAAATTTTTTTTTCTCATTTCTCGCAACTTTATTACCAGAGCAGCAAAGTCCTGGACCTTAAACCTTACATTTTTATTGCCACAAAAACACAAAAACATTTTCTACTTATTTAAAAATCTGAAGTAGGATCTTTAAAGATCTCAGAGATTGCTGTGAGGGTACAATGAAAAGCTTATCTCTCACGTAATGGACTCTTTATTTGTCGATTTTGACGCTGCTGTTTCTATCTCGATAAATTTTTTGCGTCAGTTTCTTGACACCTAAGTAAAATTGCATTTATTAGATACATTTGAAGTTTTTCTTCCAATTCACCCTCTTGCGACTTTTGGCATGCTTAAAATTTTTGTGACCCCTAAAGGCTGTTTTCTGTCAACTTTGTTAAGTTCTAATATATTTGTTGGTAAGGTAGTTCGACGTCCGATGGCCCTAAAAAAGACCGGTGAGCTTTTTAAGTTAACTCTTTCTTGATTGCAGTTAACAGCAATTGTGACTGCCTGGATATCTCAGGATGATCTTCTCTGGCCTGATGTTGAAAACCCAGACTACTCGGGAGAAAAATTACAAAGTCCGAAGCTTTGGGGCTAGTTGTAGTGCTCTTTCCCAACGTCTCCCGGTATAACGTCGAAGACGTTGGTGTCTAAAGCACCTTTTTTATTTTGCAGCTTCAGTTTTTTAGTGATCTTAGATTGGGAGATTGGTTAGAGATACTTGTGCACCTTTTTTATTTTGCAGATTCAGTTTTTTTGGTGATCTTAGATGGGGAGATTGGTTAGTGATACTTGTCCAGTGGAGGCTGTCCCGTTGGCTCAAGTTTTTTTTTCCTTCATAGATGTTATAGGTTTGCCCAGCGCAGACCTTGGAGAGGATCAGTGATTTCTGGTTAAATGCTTAGAGTCGAGAGGGTAATATAGGGTCGTCGGTCACCGGGTTTTCCAGCCTTGCGAAGAACAACTCCGCAGGTGACGTCTGCCAGTGAATAGCTGACTTGGTTTAATAGTGCCCGTCTTTAGTTAATATAGTCTTTTAGTCGACGAATCGCTTCCGGAAATGGTAATGAAAATGTATTTGTTGGCAAGGTAGTTTAC